ATGGCAAACCAGTCCTGATCCAGTTCCAGAATTCCCACTCAGATCCCAGGGCACAAACTGGTGAAATATGAGCTAAAAAATGGCAAACCAGTCCTAATCCAGTTCCCAAATTCCCACTCAGATCCCAGAGCACAAACTGGTGAAATATGAGCTGGTCCAGTTCCCAAGTCCTGTTTGCTCAGCCCTGGGAAGTGGGAAGAGGTTGGACATGGACATCACACCGTGCCTGTAGTATTCTGAACTGGAAAATAAATATTCTGTGGTCTGAAAATTCCCAAATTCAGAACAGTGTCCCATAGCCAGAGCCATGGAAACACCCCAGGACATGGGATTTGGTAGGTTTGAACCTGGAGAGAGGAAAAAAAAACCTGGGAATAAGCAGAATATGGACATTTCCTGTGTAAGGACATAATTTTGAGTTCTGGAAATAATACAGTTTCTACAAAAATGCATCATTTTACCACCCTAGAATGCACATCTTTGCAGAAATAGTGTTGAGCTGACGTTTACAGTAAATACTATAATTAAACTTTAGTTGAACTTCTAACTCTGAATGCACTTTGGGAATCAGTTTGGTGGGAATACTTCTAGTCCACTTACCCACCTTTTGTGACCTCTGCTGCTGTCTCCCACCCAGGATCAGTATGGGAATTACGTTATCCAGCACGTCCTGGAGCACGGCCGGCCTGAGGATAAGAGCAAGATCGTAGCAGAAATCAGAGGCAACGTGCTTGTGTTGAGTCAACATAAATTTGCCAGGTAGTAATTCCTTCCTTAAATTCTCCCTCTGGAGCATGGACACATGGAAGAGCTGTAGACGATTTAGGGGTGGGTGTAGGGGAGGTGAAAATTAGTTTTGCTTTATAAAATAATGTTACTTATAACAGTTACAGACTGAGGTGTGTCAGCCAGTCTGCCATGGAGGAGGCTGGAGATGTGGAAGGGTAGCTCTAACCCCAGGTCCTGAATTTAACCAGGAAATTTTTGTGTTTTGGTTTATCTGGTTTATTTTCATGGGATTTAAGTTGTCCCTACCCCATGGTAGGAAGAACATTCACTGCCCTGGGATGCCCTGGATGTCCAGCCACGGGGAGATTTGGGATATCAGTGCAGCAGCAATCCACCCCACTCTTTTCCCAGGGGAATTTCCACTCACAGAGTCATTCCCTTTGCTGTGGGAATGACTGTGGGAATTTCCCACAGCTTTTTGCTGTGTCCCTTTTGAGTCACACCCAAGGAACCCTCCAAGGGGAGCTGCAGCATTCCCAGATGCTGCAGAGCCACACGTGGGTGAAGCAGGATCCAGGTATTTGTGGATGTCAGCACAAAGCACTGCTTCCCACAGTGTGAATCCCTGCTGGATGTGCTTCCAGCCCTTGGAACATGAAGGCTGAGCTCTGCAAAGGCTCAGAATTCCCCCTTCCTCTGATGAGAGTACCCATGGACACAAGGGAAGTGGAACATTAATGAGAATTAGGAGAGCGTGGTCTTCACGTTGTTATTTCAGGTTCTCCCTCCCTGCTTTGCCTGGTTCTCTTTTCCCAAACTTCTTTCCAGCTGGAGCATTAATTAGTGGAGGGTCCCCCGAGCTGAGCAAACCCGCTGGGTGATGCTGTGAGTCAGGCAGGGGTGTGGGATGAGCCCAGCACGGCTCGTGGTCCCCTTTTGTGTACCCTACTTCTGGCTCTCCAGAGAGCTCAGGCTGCTCATTAGTGTATTCAGGAATTTTGGAAATCCTCTGCTTGGCTGAGATTTTTCATTCCTGAGCGAGCATTTCTGTGTTCTAACCTTGAATGTCCATTCCCACCATGTCCCAGCGTGGAGAAAATCAAAACAACAACTTAGCTTCTCTGTTGTGAGAGTGGACACTGACCTCACAGAGCATCACTGGACACTGGCCTGAACTGGTCCAGTTCCCAAATTCCCACTCAGATCCCAAGGCACAAATTGGGGTGAAATATGAGCTGCTCCAGATCCCAAATTCCCATGTCAAATCCTGTTTGACATTGCTGAGCTCTGCCAGCAAAAATCCCCTGCCCTTGTAGCAGCACATGAGATCTTCTTAGGGTTGGATGAAAAGCTCCAAGGAGACATTCCCTGCCCAGTTCCCAGCTCCATTCCCAGTTCCCAGCTCCATCTCTGGTTCCCGGCTCTATTCCCAGTTCCCAGCTCCATTCCCAGTTCCTGCTCCATTTCCAGTTCCCAGCTCCATTCCCAGTTCCTGCTCCATTTCCAGTTCCCATTCCCAGTTCCCTGCTCCATTCCCATTCCCAGTTCCTGTTCCCTGCTCCATTCCCAGTTCCCGTTCCCAGTTTCCATTCCCAGTTCCCTGCTCCATTCCCAGTTCCCACTCCCCGTTCCCATTTCCTGTTCTCAGTTCCCTACTCCATTCCCAGTTCCTGTTCCCTGTTCCCATTTCCCATTCCCAGTCCCCATTCCCATTCCCCATTCCCATCCCTGTTCCCATTCCCCATCCTCATTCCCCATTCCCCGTTCCCATTTCCCATTCCCCGTTTCCATTCCCCGTCCCTGTCCCCATCCCCGTTCCCATTCCCCGTTCCCATTCCCCGTTCCCATCCCCATTCCCCATCCCCATTCCCCATTTCCCATTCCCTGTCCCCATCCCCATTCCCCATTCCCATTCCCATTCTCCATTCCCATTTCCCATTCCCATTCCCCGTTCCCATTCCTCGTTCCCATCCCCATCCCCGTTCCCATTCCCCGTTCCTATTCCCCGTTCCCGTTCCTATCCCTGTTCCCATTCCCCGTTCCCATCCCCATCCCCGTTCCCATTCCCCGTTCCCATTTCCATTCCTCGTCCTTGTTCCCATCCCCATCCCTTTTCACATTCCCCGTTCCCATTCCCCGTTCCCATTTCCCAATCCCCGTTTCCATTCCCCGTCCCTGTTCCCATTCCCCATCCCCCATTCCCCATCCCCATTCCCATTCCCCAATCTCCATTCCCCATTCTCATCCCTGTTCCCGTTCCCCGTTCCCATTCCCCGTTCCCATTCCCCGTTCCCATTTCCATTCCCCGTCCCTGTTCCCATTCCCGTTCCCATTCCCCGTTCCCATTCCCCGTTCCCATTTTCATTCCCCGTCCCTGTTCCCATTCCCGTTCCCACTCCCCGTTCCCGTTCCCACTCCCCGTTCCCATTCCCGTTCCCATTCCCCGTTCCCGTTCCATCCCTGTTGGCTCCTGCCTTGCAGCAATGTGGTGGAGAAGTGTGTGACGCACGCGTCGCGCACGGAGCGGGCCATGCTGATCGACGAGGTGTGCACCATGAACGACGGCCCCCACAGTGCCTTATACACCATGATGAAGGATCAGTACGCCAACTACGTGGTGCAGAAGATGATCGACGTGGCCGAGCCGGCCCAGAGGAAGATCGTCATGCACAAGGTGGGGGCACAGCCCGGCACTGCCACGCCGTGCCTGGGGAGGGTGGCAGAGGGGCGGGAGTGTTTGAGCAGCTGCAAGGTGGAAATTACGGAAGGGTTTGGGTGGAAGGGGCCTCAGCGCTCATCCACCTCCACCCCAGGGACACTCACTGGCCCAGGAGCTCCAGCCCCAGTGTCCAGCCTGGCCTTGGGCACTGCCAGGGATCCAGGGGCAGCCACAGCTGCTCTGGGAATTCCAGCCCAGCCCCTGCCCACCCTGCCAGGGAACAATTCCCAATTCCCAATCTCTCATCCAGCCCTGCCCTCTGGCAGTGGGAGCCATTCCCTGGGTCCTGTCCCTCCATCCTTGTCCCCAGTCCCTCTGCAGCTCTCCTGGAGCCCCTCCAGGCCCTGCAGGGGCTCTGAGCTCTCCCTGGAGCTTCTCCTCTCCAGGCAGCACCCCCAGCTCTCCCTCTGGGACCTCCTGGGCTCTCTCCAGCAGCTCCAGGTGCAGCAGCTCTTGGGGGCCCAGTGAACAGTTCCATCCCAGGATCCCACCTGTCCCTGCCCTCTGTCCGAGTGCAGCCATTCCCCGAGTCCTGTCACTCCATTCCCGTGTCACAAATCCCTCTCCAGCTTTCTGGAGGAGTCCGGAGCTGCCCCTGGGGCTGAGCTGCAGCTGGCAGCAGTGCCCGTGTCCCAGTGACCCAGTTCTGCACGGAGCAGGCGCCGCGCTCCTGCCAGCGCCGGCTGGGCCTGCAGCTCCAGGGCTGGGGAGCCACCCAGGCCTGGGGCTGTGTCCCCATCTTCTGTGTCCTTGGGGCTGTGTCCCTGCCTGTGTCCCCATCTCTGTCCCTCTGTGTCCCCATCTCTGTCCCTCTGTGTCCCTGGGGCCGTGTCCCTGCCTGTGTCCCCATCTCTGTCCCTCTGTGTCCCTGGGGCCTGTGTCCCTCTGCTTGTGTCCCAGTTTGTCCCCCTGCCTGTGTCCCCTGCCTGTGTCCCTGCAAGCTGTCCCTGTGTGTCCCTGTGGGCTGTGTCCCTGCTGCTTGTATCCCTCTGTGTCCCTGTGGGCTGTGTCCCGTGGGCTCTGTCCCTCTTGCTCCATCCTGTGGTCTGTCCCCGTGTCCCCCTGCCCGTGTCCCTGTGTATCCCTGTGACTGTGTCCCTGTGTATCCCTGTGACTGTGTTCCCATGTCCCTCTGCCTGTCGCTGTGTCACCCAGGCTGTGTCCCTGTGGCCAGTCCCTGCTAGCTCTGTCCCTCTGCCTGTCTGCTGTGGCTGTGTCCCTGTGTATCCCTGGGGCTGTGTCCCTCTGCCTGTTGCTGTGTCACTCAGGCCGTGTCCCCGTGTCCCTCTGCCTGCTGCTGTGTCACTCAGGCCGTGTCCCCGTGTCCCTCTGCCTGCTGCTGTGTCACTCAGGCTGTGTCACTCAGGCTGTCACTCAGGCTGTGTCCCTCTGCCTGTTGCTGTGTCACTCAGGCTGTCACTCAGGCTGTGTCTCTCTGCCTGTTGCTGTGTCACTCAGGCCGTGTCCCCGTGTCCCTCTGCCTGTTGCTGTGTCACTCAGGCTGTGTCACTCAGGCTGTCACTCAGGCTGTGTCCCTCTGTGTCCCTGTGCCTGTTGCTGTGTCACTCAGGCTGTGTCCCTCTGCCTGTCGCTGTGTCACTCAGGCTGTGTCACTCAGGCTGTGTCCCTCTGCCTGTTGCTGTGTCACTCAGGCTGTGTCCCCGTGTCCCTGTGCCTGGGGCTGCCAGCCCCGCCTGTCCCTCCATGTCCCTCCCAAGGCCGCTGGCCTTGCCAGGTGCCATCGTGCTGGTGCCACCTCCGAGCACAGAGCCATTAAATCAAGTCCTCTGTTTCTCACTCATTTTTAAATGAGTTCGATGTGGCACTTCCCAGAATCCTGGGATCCCTGAGGCTGGAAAAGGCCTCCAAGGCCCCCGAGTGCAGCCTGTGCCCCATCCCCTCCTTGTCCCCACCAGAGCTCCGAGTGCCACCTCCGGGAATTCCTTGGACTCCTCCAGGGATGGGCACTCCAAACTCCCTGGCCAGTTCCAGTGCCAGAACACCCTTTCCATGGAGAAAAATCCTGCTGATGTCCTGAACTTCCATGGTTTAGCATTACCCTGCAGTGTTTGAATGCACAGCCGTCCCAGGAGTTCAGATTTATCCCAAATGAAGACGTTTGGAATGAAACCTGCCTTGCTGCCATCCCCGGCGCCCTGTGCTGCTGCTCCAAGGGCAGGGAGCTCTGCAGACTGGGAATATCTTCATTTTCCTGCTTTTAAAGGTCACATCTGCAAGGCTCTAGAATGGCAATGGATGGGGAGTAACAGGCTTTAAAGAGGGGTGGGGCTGAGGGGATTTTAATTTCCTTCAGTGACATTTGTTGGGGTTACCTGATGAAAAAGCCCAGGTACAGCCAGAGGAATGAAATCCTGACTGACCCAGGCACAGAATAGCTGAGATTTATTTATTTTCAACAATGTCAGGTATTCAAATGCTAAGGAAGCATTTTTATTATTATATTTAAGCATCCTTGACTAAACCAGAATTGATTTTTCTGTAAGAAATGGGAATTTGTGTGAGGGAGTTGCTTTGACCTCCACATGCACTGAATCAACACAAACAGCTGGAAGAATCCTCAGGGATGTTAATTCTTAGGTTTCGGAACCACTCCGAGTCATTCTTTTAACCCAAATCTGTTTTAGTCTACAAGAAATGCTAAAGATAATTAAATAAAGATATCTGGCAAGGGATACACTCAATTTATCTGTGGCAGAAGGGCCCTGGATTTGTTAATCCATAACAGAGCTGTGTATTGAGAAAAAAAAACCGAAACAAATTATTGTTCCTGACATTTCTTACTTTCTTTTTCCCATGAAGCAAAGCCTTTGGAATAAAATGCAAATTAGATTATCAGTGGGGCTGTCAAAAATAGCTCAGGGTTGACAGCTAAGTGGGCCTGAGTGAATGTGATCTCAGGCTGCAGGAAAGCCTGGAAAAATGGAGCCAGGGGCTGTGGGAATGGCTGGTGATCGTGGAAAACAGCAGGTTGGGAAGGGGTTAAAAATGGGATTTTATTCAGTTTTTATTTTAAAAAGTAAAACTGAAAAGTGATTTTAACAGCTGTGTCTGTAAAGGGAGAAAGTGAAAGGGATGAAGCTGGGCAGAGAAGGAATGGTTGGAATTGGAGCTTCTCTGCTCCTGCTGGGCACAGGAGTCATTCCTGCTGGGAGTGGGGAGCCAGGTTGGATTTGTGGTTTGGGAATGTGGGTCCCTGGAGTGGAGCAGGAATGTGAGGGACTGGAGGCTGAGCTGCTGAGCCAGGAGCAGTTGGGGAGGAGTTCCTGGCAGTGGGCAGTGGTGGGATGTGGCCACCCTTGGAGCAGGGAATGCTGGAATCCACAGGCTGTTCCCACTTGGAGAGGAGAAAATGGTGAAATCATGGAATCCTGGAAGGGTTTGGGTTGGAGAACCCTTAAATCCCATCCAGTGCCACCCCTGCCATGGCAGGGACCCCTCCCACTGTCCCAGGCTGCTCCAGCCCCAGTGTCCAGCCTGGCCCTGGGCACTGCCAGGGATCCAGGGGCAGCCACAGCTGCTCTGGGAATTCCAGCCCAGCCCCTGCCCACCCTGCCAGCCAAGAATTCCATCCCAGTATCCCATCTGACCCTTCCCAGGCAGTGGGAATCCATTCAGTTCAAAGCCCCAGTGCTTGCCTTGTGCAGAATCCCCCTGGGACCTGGGGAGCACGGCCTGGATTCCCAGGAATTGTGTGATGCTGATGCCTTGTGAAGGCTGACCTAGAACAGAGACCAGACTGAGCTACAGAA